CCACACTACACCCTCTTTGATAGTGAGTCAGTACCACGTGCTGCCTATTATATCATGGTATTTCTAATGTAACTATTGGATGAATATTGATGTTCAAGACTAGTTAAGGCAACGTACAAGGGAAGAAAACTGAAGAAGTTAACAAGTTGACTTACGGTCGAATGGCGTACAATCCCTTCGAAGGCCGAGGTAGAAATTGGGGTGGCAAACGAGCAAAATGACTCATTTCAGCTTGATCCATGGACGGCTCGAACTTGTTTTGAGATGAGCCATGAATCGAATTTAGCTCACATTGTTCTCATGAGCCACTTAAGAGTTGTTCTTTTCGTGTTTTAATTTTTAGTTTTTGGTTTATTTTGGGTTTTGTGTTTTAAGTGTCCTTTTTGAGATTATTGAAAACGCGTTCTTTTTGCCATTTTGAAAAATTGTTTTAAAAAAAAAAAAATTTGGCTTGGTTTTAACTGAAAAAACCAAAACGACTTTTTTGGCGTTTTCCATTTTCTTTGTAACTTTTAAACTCGTTTTTGAAAATTCGTTTATGAAAATAGATAAGTAAACGTGTTTTCAGTGTTTACGAAAACTGAAAATGGCCTGAAAACAGCAAAGAGAACAGATCCTTAATTTCTTTAAAAAATTGCTCATTTTTAGGTTTGTTTTGGTAATGTATTTTTTTTAAAAAAAAGGAACCGAATCATAGACCTCACGAGCCGAAGGATTGAGTCGATCATAAGATATGAACACGAGCCCAGCTAGACTGGTCCATAGGGTCAAGCCAAGCTCGGGTGTCTATGGCTCGGTCCATTGCCCCCCATCTAGAAAGGTCTACTACTCGTGACAAGGAAATGCGAGGATACACTCAAGATTGGGTTGGAGAGCTTGACATATAATGCACCGTCGGAGAAGGCATTCGGCTGCATCAATGTGTAGTCAGTCATTCGATTCTAGGCAAGGACAAAAACTTTGTTGCAAATCTACCATATCATCGTCGAACTAGAACGACCTACTACTTGCCTCTCTCAGAGCATAGCTTAGTGGTGTAAAGGACAAGAGTGATGTAGTCCCAGCTGAGTTGGCAGTCTCAGTGTGATGGTTCAATTTCTATCTCTTATAAGGTATGAAATTTGATTCTTTGTGAGCACCAATATGACAGCTCTTGTACCCTAGCCTGCTGAGACACATCTCGTGATTTACCTCCTTTACAATGATGGAGGGGAGGGGAGGGGTAGGGGTTGGGGTGGGGTTCAACCTTTATTTTTAGAACTAGCCACTACCGCTACCTCCATGGACCACTTCGAGCTTTAACTTCATCCTCTTATTCTGCAGCAAATGCATTTTAATTGCAGTTTCTATACAAAGCAAAACAATTTTTAAGTCATTCCTCAGACCATTAATGTTATTTCTGCCGGAAGGCTCAAATGATTATGTTTTTATATCTACTTCTCACATGAGACAATAACGAATATTGAATGAAATATATTCTTCAGACTAAATAGAATTTATCCAACAAAATTCTAGGTTGAAAATACTTCTAACCGCGTCGAGGCACACGACTATGTACAATACTAGGTTGAAAATGGAGAACCTCACACCGACTGTTAGATATTGCATTTGTAGATTACAAGAATAAGGTAATGCAATAACAATTTTTCGCGATCACATCTTCCTACATGAATATGAATTATCTTAATCGATAAACTTCAACTAACACACGGTTTTGTCAAAATTAATTTTTTTTTTTTTTGTAAATTTTGATAAAAATTGATGAAATATATAACTGAAAAATTAATTAAAATTGTGTTTAGTCGAAAATAAATTTTAGAAAATAGGATTGACTGAATAACTTTGAAAATAAAAAAATTAATAGTATCCCACAAATAAAAAAATATTTATTGGTGAGTTTGACAGACGCAAAGAAGCACCGAAAAAAATCATTCTGAATGAAAAGTTGTTTACTCACTACCACTTGTTAGTGTCCAAATTCCCTTCTATTTAACCACACAAATCTTGATTTTTACTCCCTTTTTATTTCGTCAATATAGGCACAGGTAATTTTTGTTAATTAATTTAGTTATGATGTGTTTTTATCTGTGAGGATTTATTTGGATTGAATTCTTAATTTCTTTTGGACTTGTAATTTGTTGGGTGCTTCTCGAAGATTTCAAATTTGTGTGTTTTTTGTATTTTTCCCCTGGAAAAAAGATCAACTCGAGTGAGGAAACTGTTGAATTTTCTATTTATTGAGCATGGATGCAAGGTCGATTATTATTGGTGGAAAATCCTGTTTGAATTATTAAATTTAATTTTTCCGAGTAGGAGTTGAAGGATATTTACAGCTGAATTTGACTGGGTAGATTGAATTCAATTTGATTTACAATATTTTGCCTGATAAAAAAGTGTAATTTGGGGCTGCCGTGTTGATAGGTTTTTCTCTTCTCGATTTCATGTGCACTGACTTTAATTGTTATTCCATTTTTCTTGAATTGTACAGAAATTTAAGTCTAGATAGTAACATATGAAGTCTACAAAGCCTCATTGACTTTGTAATTGCTTGGTAAATGAACTTTTTTTCCATTGGCCATCAGTTAATCAGTTTATGTTAAGTGCTTTCTATACAGTCCTTTACTAATTCATAATTTTATTTCTGCTGTTAACCTTTAATTATTTATTTTTCAAACTATAAAGTGCTTTCAAATGATGAGTAGGGAGTATTAATTATTTTCTTCCTCGTGAGCTGATTTTGCTAAATTTTGAATGCTGCATTAGGCAATGTGCCCATGAAACTAACAAATTTATGAAATGCCAATGGGATGCAACTTTGGATGTGAAATTATGATTATATACCTTAGTTTTCTTGTCAACTGTCATTATTCTCCTATCATTCTTTTTTCGCCGTTCTGATCTTAAATTTATTGTTCGCTGTTCTGAATTAGCGATCCAATGGATTTAGTGTGCTCGAAATAGAACAAGATTGTTATTGGGTGGATACTCTTGTGTGTCTATTGTTAGCAACAGCAAGAAGAAAGCCAATGGGAGCTAGATTGAGTGTGAATAATAATAGGGTGAGCACGACAGAGCTCTCTGAGGTGTCACAGAGTGAAGCATGTAAGAGACAAAGGGCATCCTCAAGCTTTTTGGATGAAAATCTGAGATTAATTCCATGTCTTCCTGATGAGATATCTCTTCAGATTCTTGCCAGACTCCCTAGAATTTCGTATTTTAATGCGAAGCTGGTCTCAAGGAGCTGGAAAGTTGCTCTGACTAGTGGAGAACTTTATAAGTTGAGGAAAGAACTTGGAACAACCGAGGAGTGGCTTTACATTCTGACTAAGATTTTTGGTGATAAACTTTTGTGGTATGCCCTCGACCCAGTGTCAAGGATATGGCAAAGGTTGCCTCCAATGCCAAAAGTTGCCGTTGAAGATGGAACTAGAGGAGGATTGTCAGCTATTCGTCTGTGGAATGTGGTCGCTTCAAATATTAAAATTGTGGATTCTATTAGGGAATGGTTTAGAAGGAAGGATGCATTTGACAAGATTAGATGCTGTGGTTGTTCAATTGGAGCTGTTGATGGCGGCCTCTATGTCTTGGGTGGATTTTCTGGGGCTGCAGCCCAGAAATATGTCTGGCGTTACGATCCAATTGTAAATTGTTGGAGTGAAGTGACTCCTATGTCTATTGCCAGAGCATATTGTAAGACTGGTGTCTTGAACAATAAACTTTATGCTGTTGGAGGTGTTACTCGGGGACGAGGTGGACTGAGTCCTCTTCAATCAGCTGAAGTATTTGATCCTTGTACTGGCATGTGGTCTGAAGTACCAAGCATGCCATTTTCAAAAGCTCAGATGCTACCGACTGCCTTTTTAGCTGAACTGCTAAAGCCTATTGCTACTGGGATGACATCATATAGGGGGAAATTATACGTTCCTCAAAGTTTATATTGCTGGCCCTTTTTTGTTGATGTTGGAGGAGAGGTATATGATCCGGAAACAAATTCATGGGTCGAAATGCCAATCGGCATGGGGGAAGGTTGGCCTGCTAAGCAGGCAGGAATCAAATTAAGTGCCACCGTTGATGGAGGCTTATATTCGTTGGATCCATCTAGTACTCTTGACAGTCCTACAATCAAAATGTATGATCAACAAGATGATTCTTGGAAATTAATTGAAGGAGATCTACCCATTTGTACTGATTCAGAATCTCCATATCTACTTGCCGGTTTTCTTGGAAAGCTACATGTGATCACAAAAGCAACAAATCATAACATCGTAGTCATGGAAGCTGATAGGCAAAATCGAATTGTTTCTGCTGCATCCACCTCATCATCTTCTTTAGGTGAATCCTTGCAAGAGTTTTCTCAAGATGTTCCTGAACATATTTGGAAAGTTATTGCTGCTAAGAGTGATGGATCTACAGAACTAGTTAGCTGTCAGGTTCTTGATATCTAGTTCTATTATGCTACAGGATCAATCTCCTTTGGTCATTTGGTATTGCCAGCTTTTGTTGGTCAATGATAATTTTTTACTAGTGTATGAAGTTTCAAGTATCATAAGAATACCCTCTCTCGTAATTGAATATGTCTTATGCTATTTGAAAGGTTTCCATGCACTAACAGATTATTTCATCCACCTAGTGATTACTTTAAAACTTGGTTGTATCTTGACCAATATTCTCTGCAAAGAAGCTGATTCATGTAGCTTATCATCGATAAAGCTTCATAAAGTTGGCACCCAATTAGCTAATATCATGTCAACAACTAATGCAAGTCTGATGATTTCTTTTCCTGTGTGTGGTAAGTTTTCATTTGTTTAATCTTTATTCTAAATGGTATTCTGAAGGGAATTGAATGTTTTAGTAATTGACAGGAAATGAGCTGTTCATTTGTTTGAAGATCTTAGCCACATAAACACTGCCATAAATTTGAGCAAGTCTGCCCTTAAAGGCTGAAAGTATCACTTTAAAATGTATTGTGACATGAAATTCTATTTATATAGCTTATAGTGGAAATCGTTTGCAAGGACTGCTAGATATTTGGTAACAATCTGTGGTTAATCTTAACAAGATTTTTGAATCAGTGGCCGGAGACGATATCCTTTATTATTCTGTTAAGCTGGGGGGAGTTTTTATTGAATCTGACAGTCTGTTTTTGTTTATGAGAGATAACTTCTGAGCCTTTCTGAAGCTTCCAGGATATTTTCTCTGTGACCAAAAGCAGTGACCCGGATAAACTCTCTGCCTCCAGGACCAAATCCACTCCCCGGAACTGTGATTATGTGTGTTTTTTCCAGAATTTCGTTAAACACGTCCCAAGAATCTGACCCTGGAAAGTGTACCCAAACATAAGGGGCGTTTGTGCCTCCATAGACCCTTAATCCCAGAGAAGTAAAGGTATTCACCAGTATCTCTGCATTTTCCTTGTAGTAATCAACATTGGAAAGTACAGCCTGAAAGGAATGTTGCAGGAAAACATTTGTTAGGACTCTGAACCTTCTCTCTATGGCTGTATTGAATAGTGTATTTTCTTAAATTTGCTAGTTATTGAAACATAGACATTATATGCATGTTATATTTGACGCACGTTTAGCATGTGGTTCTTGTGTACTACATATTTTTGGTGTTTGGTGTTCAAAACTGACCTTGAAGCCATCCGAGGATAAGCAAGCCAGCCCACCAGCCTGAGCTACATTGGAAGCACCATTGAAGCAGGTACATACTATGCGATTGAAGTCGTTTATAACCGGGAATCCATTGGAATACACGAGTTCCTCGGGAACCACAGTCCAGCCCAGTCGGACTCCGGTGAATCCAGCGATCTTGGAGAAGGATGAGACTTCAATGGCCACCTACAGCATTAACAAATATTCTATTATATTTCTATTTTTTCATGGGGAAATGCAGAAAAAGGCGACCGGAAGCAATTTGCCTTTCTTGCGCCAGGAATTTCATATATTGATCGAGGTCCATCGGTGATATAAACTGCATAGGCAGAATCATATACAATGATGGATCCATTCTGTTGTGCAAAATCCACAAGTCGCTCTAATTGCTCCCTTGATGATGCATGGCCTGTTGGATTATTTGGAGAGCAGAAGAAAATGATATCTGTTCTTGGAGTTTTTGAGAGGTCAGGAAAGAAATTATTTCTTGGTCCACATTCCATGTATGCAATATTCTGATACCTCCCTGATTCTTTCTCAATATCCCCAGTCTGGCCAATTATCACACTTGAATCTATGTAAGCCTGTATTGAAGTTGTTTAGTTAGAAAATAACAGGGTGAAGAAGAATAACAGTTTTCGTGCATGTTTGGCACCCAATATTTGATAGAACAGTTTAGTATTATCCAAATCATTTCTACCAAACGTGCTATCAGTGTTTAATAGAAGTATCACCGGAAAGGATGGATCTTGAACAGCAATAGACACATTCGACCCGAAAAGCATCTGCGGGGAAACATAATCAGAGTTCAGTTTAATCCATTGACTTCATATCGGGCTGTAGAATTGAAGAACCTTGAGATACATGTACCTGCAGACGACTGATATCACATTGTGAACCGTCTGATATAAATACTTCCGAATCTTTTATTCCCGTGTCTTTGTAAAATGTTTCTGCTATGGCTTGTTTTAGCTCCTGCAATATGAGACCATGTAATTAATTCATAGGGCTGAGGCTGGGAAGTTTACTTATAAGTTTAACATTTTAAGCTTAGCCAAACATGCTAGTTTCATCAATTTATTTTTTTATAATAGTTTGAATGGAACAAGGTTCGATTTATGCGTTTTCATTGTTTAACTTCCTCATTGCATGCTGCTAAGTATAAACATAAATTACCTTGTTCCCTTGTTCAGCTCCATAACCTTTATAACCTTGAGGTGTTGCAAGGCTCTTTGCATACTGCAATTTACAATGTTAGCAGCACATTAGAAAGAGGTTGGAATTCAATTGTTTCAAATCAACGAAATGATGCCTTGCAACACAACGAAACAAATCAAAGCACAAGTTTCATCGTCCCTGTTGATAAATGGTATGGGTGCCTTCGTGCCACAAGGCACGACCATGGAAGTAATTTAATAGAAAAAGCTATGTAATTGGACCATCTATTCTATCCGTTTGAGTTTAGGTTTTGAGTCTAAAACTGATAACATAAATAAATTATAAAAACTTGAAAAATGTCTACTAGAGCAGCTCTTATCCTTGTCCAAGGAGAAAATAAAAAGGTATATTTGAGCATGATTGGAAAAAAGGTCGGAGACTTCAAAACAATAGGCAGGTGGCAGCCTTGTCCAAAAGGCCAAAGGGAAACTATTTATTATGGTAAAGTCTCTCTCTCTCTCTCTCTCTCTCATGAGTGTTGCAATGGCTCTATTTGCGATATTTCTATCTATTATTAAACTTTACATTGGGATATCAGATTAGAAAAATCTAGTCTATTAATGGAACTTACATTAGCCATGCTCAAGGCTACCATATCTGGTATTGGTTCAGTGGTGTCACCAATTCCGAGGCTTATGACTTTAGCATTCGGATACTTCTTAATGTGTCGAAGCTCACGTACATCGATCTGTAATGCAGTAAGCTTTGGAGTTGAGAGGCTGTTGCAAAATTTACAGATAATCTAATTCGTTGAAGAATACCTCAGGAAACAAATAGTTGTATTGCAGCTTCTCCAAATTTGCATTGCGCTCAACTTTTGTACAGTAAGAAACTGCATTCATTAATCACACAAATTTCTCAATAACTATAAATTGTATCTAAATGCAAATATCATAAGTGCATGACATCGTACCTAAACCCTTTTCTTCTACTGCCATCCTGCAACAAAATCAGTGATTATATCAAAATACTGTAGAGGTAAATCTGCAGACAGTAAGTATATATATTGAACATGAACAAAACTGAACTCCAAAGTTACCTAGCTATAGGCTGAAACAAGGTTTTGCAAGTAGTGAAACTCAAAGTTAAAAATGTGTGCATTTTTCTTGTAATTAGTTTCTCCACTTATTCTCTCAAATTGCAATGAGCATAACGTATATGGTGACATTTTTATACTCATGCCAAAATAATTAAGGGGTGCTTAGGTCTTTTCATAATCCATTTAATTAAAGAATATGTAAATTGGAACAGGAAGTTTTTCAACATCTCCTACCTAATTTCCTGAAGAATAAAATTTATAAAACAAAAATAAATTAAATAATAGTTGACATTCATTTTCTGTTTTTTTTTTTTCTGATGAAATATATTTACTGCATTAATTAATAGATATTTGCAATGTACAAATTATATAAATACATACTCGAAATTCGAAAACTAAGAAAAGTTTATGCAACTATGTCTTGTACAAAAACCTAAAAAAATTTAAAAAATAATTCCGTACAAATTAATATAAGAGGGTGTTTGGTGTGGATTAAAATTAGATTTTTAGTAGATTGTGATAGAAGTTTTTGAAATGTGTGGTTGAAAAGTTGTGGGACCCATGAAAGATGTGATTAATATTGATTGTTTGATTTTGATTTGGATTAAAACCAGATTTTAATCTGGACGGACCAAACATGGGCTAAGTTAAGTTTGACAATAATCATAATTCAATACAAATTAATTTCAAAGAAGTTTCGTTCATAACTAAAAAGTATGGATAGATTTTGGAAAATCTAATAAAAAACCCTTCAGATTTTACCTGTTCACTGCCTTCTTTTTCTTAACATAGTTATTTAACATCCTTTAAACTTCAGACAAGCTTGCCACCTAACTATAAACCAGATTAAATCATATAAATTTCCAAAATATAACAAAAATAACCATTTTCCTATTACACTTTTCTCATCTCAGCAAAAAAAAAAAAAGAGACTTCAATTTCCAAGAAACTTCAGCGTCCATATTTTCTAAAACTGGTTATAACTTACAAGTACATGAAACTTTCATTGGACGTCTCTTTTGGAAAAGAGACGGAAGAAAGAGCTTGAGAAAATGAAATGACAAGCCTATGCCTAAAGTCGACTTGACCTTGAGAAATAGAATATGCAGAGCCACCACCAATACAATATTCATTCCCCACGCAACAAAACCAGCCATTAAATATGCATATCCATTGACTTTTCTTTCCCTCGAAGTCTGAACGAAGTTATTCTATCTGATATACTTGTCACGTTGGAAAATGAAATTTAAAAAATGGGCAGACAAAAGTAGCATCTGCTAATATAAAATGCATTGACTAAGAGCATGAACTTGTGAAGACAAATTATCTCTCTTTTGACCAATACATACAAAGACCATTTTGAAATTAAAGAATTCACCAAAAGTATAGTCAACATATATTAATGTGAAATAAAGGTATCAAATTGTTTGAACACTATAGTATTTTGAATGTAGAAATTAATATTCAAAGACGATGAGTTGATCATTTCAGACTGGATTGAGTCAAAAGATTTACTTCACGAGCTATTGAAATTTGACTACAGGGAGAACATTATTATTTCTTAGTTAAAAAGAGCAGTAAAATATGATGAAACTATAGGGAAATTGGAACTTTTGAGTCGAAGCAATTCATACATAGTTACATAATTATTTGAGTAATGCTATTCATCCCCACCGAGAATGAAAACACGGTCTACGTGGCGTCAATGCGGCATTAAATGATATGCGAAATTAAATAAGTCATTTAATTTCACCTTTCATACTTATTTAATTTCACCTTTCATTTGAACTATTATTTAAAATCACAAAGACTGTGTTTTCATCCCAATGGAGATGAATAACATTACTCTAATTATTTTGCCCTTTTGAAAAAGAATAATGCTATTTACAGTCGTTCACTGCAGCAGTCGCCCTATGTGGCACACACATGTCAAGTGTGTATTTGATGCATTAAGGTTGTAAAAAAAACTATCATATTATTGTATCAAATACACACTTGACATGTATGTGACACATAGGACGACTATGAATAGCATTACTCTTTGAAAAGCTACTAGGCATGCACGAAAATTCAAGAAGATTGATTACTATCAGCTGATGACAGACTTTTCGGATTTTTCTAGGTTGTCTTATTTCTATTAAGGTGCTGCAAAGAAAAGATAAAAAAAAAGTGCTCATTTCTTGGAAATTCTTTAGTTCTCACTTTTCACGTCTTTCCACAGTATCAAATCCAAGAATTGATGGCTGATTTTAACTTTTCTTTTTCCACTCATTACTACATAGAAATGCAGTAAATTTTGGTGAAAGAGCAAATCGTCCCCATATTAAAAGACTCACCTTAGCTAGTCCGAGTCATAGTCGTAACGTTAATTTTTTATTAAAACCCACAATTCTATTTTCACTTTTTGTTTAGGACCCTCACTTTGGCATATTTGAAAATTTTGGGAAGTAGCCATCCATGTGGTATGCATGCATGCACGCAATAGTATACCTGTCTGCACCTGTTATTATAGTCGTTCTCATGTATATTCGAATAATTGAACCTGGAATTATCGGGAAAGGGCAGACATGCACGACAAAATATAATGCCGTGGAAGTCATCAAATCATACAAAAAGAAAATTGTGCTACGTCCAAAATTTTGAAAGGAAATACGGAAAGAATTCGTAAATTATTCTATTCAATCTTGTTTAATCGAACATATCCATTATAAAAGATCGAAAATGGGTAAAACATAAAGTTAGCTTTTAACCGACCCAATTTACCGAAATGTGGACTAAAAGTAGTGGCATATCCCGGAAACTTTGTTTGATGGAACAATGAGAATTTTATTTTCTTTAGGATCAAGAATAAATTAAAGTTGTGGAAATTTTGGGGAAATTTTTACTAGATTGGACTATTCAAATCATTTTGCAAGTCTATACAAAACTTGGTTTCCAGGAAACTGGCCAGAAAGTTTGGCACAAGGATACATATTCCCAATTGTAGCTCGTGGATTTTACATCAATTTATTTTTGACGCTTCACTTATTTTTTGTAAAATTAAACAAGAATTTTTTATGTAGCATAACAAAAATGCCTTCATCGTCATTAATATGTTTACTTGCAGCAATTGTGAACTCTCGGAAGAATCGATGACTGCATCAAAGATGCAGTGCTAGTACATCTGAGAATTCTTAATTGGCTAGTTGTAAATATCCCGAGGACTTTCCCTTGGTCACAATGATACTTATTTCTATGATTGAGTATTTTTTTAGTTTTTATATGTGTATGGAGAGTAATTTTGTTCGAACGGATCTAGGATGAATGAACTAGGGAGCTTGCCAATTATTAAGAATTGTGGTTCCATCTTAAAAAGTCAACATTATTAGGAGAAGTAACACAATCCTTTATAAGTTAGTTTTTGTTTACATCTTTATTCGATGTGAGATTATATCCCTTAACATGTCCCCGCAAGATGGTGTCTAGTTTGAGCAGACCAATCTTGAAATCCGTATGCTCACTTTTGGAGTTTTAACCGGATCGAATTACTCATTATAGCTTAATTGTCTCTGATGCCATATTAAGATTTGAAGTTTCATCTTAAAAGGTAAATCTTATTAAGAGGAGTAATACAATCCTTTATAAGTAGGTTTATGTTTATATCTTTATTCGATGTGAAATTCTATCCTTTCACACCAATTTTTTCCAATACGACTTCGATAGTACAAGAAAAATGAAAAGACAAAAACGGAGGCGCAGAGAGAATTGAAGTTTGCACTTTCGTGGTAAATCTCCAAAACACCAACTCAACATTCAAATTAATTTAAGCAGAAATATTAAAATATTTCATTATTGTTGACCTCTTTGCACTGTCAACGTAACGATCCCTGAATTTCGCTTTTCTTTCTGAAACAGTGCTCTTTCGTTAGGAGAGACTCTTAGTGCCGGCGAGAAAAGTAAGTGAAAGGAAATTCAGTATCTTTTTATGTAAAACACGTGAGATAGCGAACCTTTTTTGAAAAATCCAATTTTAAACCTGTTTGTAATGTTCATATTTCTTATCAAATAAATTAAGAAAAAGGTGTATAATATCATCTGTTCATCGGGTTTTACATTACTTGTAACAAATAAGTGGGTACGGAAATGAAATCACGAAAAGAAATTATAAGCTAGAGTTGAAGGGATAATTACATCAATGGTCACTAAGGGTCCGTTTGATTGCAAATGTGAAAAATGGGTGAAAAGAAAATGAAATTCAGGGAAAGTAATTGCTTAGAAATTGTTTTTCAGGAAATTGTTAATTAAGTGTATTTGATTTGTATAATTTTCCACCCAGAAAATTTTTGAAATTTTGGATTTTTTTGTTCACGTTTGGCTTTATTTTACATGAAAATTGTTCATTAAATTGAAAATTTTTTTTACAATTGGTTATGAAATTTGTTATCATTGCGAAAAAGTAAAAAAAAAAAAAATTTTTTTTTGCTCGAAAACTATTTTTTCATCAAAGTTTAGTGTTCGTTTTGCTTCGTTTTATATGAAAATTTTTCATTAAAGTGAAATTTTTTTTATAATTGATCATAAAATTTTTTAACATTACCAAAAAGT